ATTTGCCTTGTGATGCTGGAGAAGAATATTTAAAGTACCACGGGCTGCTTGGAAGAAGTATACCCATAGTGCTCCTTAGAGGCAAAGAGGGCAAGACTTAGTCTTATATACTTTGGGCACGTTCTCAGGAGAGAGCAGTCCCTTGAGAAGCACATCTGGTTTGGTAAAGTGGAGGGGCAGTGAAACAGAGGAAGGCTCTCAGGGAGATGGATTGACACTGTGACTGCAACAATGGGCTCGAGCATCGGAACGATTGTGAGGATGCTGCAGGACCAGGCAGCGCTTCATTCTGTTGTGCACAGGGTCACTATGATTCAGACCCGACTCAATGGCACCTTGCCACCACCGCCACCACCACCACAGGTTTATTTTTCCATTCTTCCAAAGATGGCCATTTAGGTTGCTATCATCTTCTTGTTATTGTGAATAGTACTACAATGGACCTGGGTGTGCATATATCTCTGGGAGTTACAGCTCTCATTTCACTAAGGTACAAACTGTGGACAGGGACTGCTGGGTCCCAAGGTAATTCAACAACAATTGTTTTAGGAAGTGCCGTACTGTTTCCGCAGTGGTTGTACAGGTTTACAGTCACACCAGCAGTGCATGAGGGTTCCAAACGCCCTGCATTCTCTCCAGCATTTTTATTTTCTGTTCTTGTTTTTGTTTTTTCTTTAACTTTGCTATCAATGCTAGTGTAAGGTGGTGTGATGAAGTAAGATTCCTTAATATAGCTCTTTGATACACTTCTCTGTAGCTGTCACAAAAAGACTGGGTGGCATTATGCAAATAAGGTGTGTGAAACACTAATAGAGGAGATTGGTTTGCTGTTTCTCTGTGAGATTGGTGAGCTTTGTGCTGTTTCTCTGTGTATAAGAAAGTCACCCCAGAAACAGGACGAGAGAGCATTCCTGAGTCCATCAAGGAAGAAGAGCCACCAGCAGGGCATGTTTGAAATCCATCTGAAGTGACAGGGGCTGAGACAAGAAGCCTACACAAGGAAACCATGTGACAGAGCAGAGGAGCATTGCTGAGACTATGAGACCGTGATGCAGTGGTGGGTGGGTTTCCTGACCAATGGCAGAGGCCAAGGGACCATGCGACCGAGAGGCTGAGTATCAAAAAGAGAGGCTTGGCTGCTGGCTGAGGAGAGCTGTTGCTATGGATCAATGACTGTATCCTTAATGTTTTCTGATCCTGGCTTGTGTTAACTTGTTAAGTTCCCTAAAACAAAGGAACAACCGTAGTAGTGAGGATTGACTGTGAGTTTCCGTGTGGCCATGGCAGCACATTATTGAACCTAGCTGAAAAGTAGAACATCTAGGGGGAACAGTTAGTGTTAGAATAGGGTCAAGAAAGCTGGAGGGTAAGATTTTTTTTGTTCTGATGATGATACCTTATACCTGATCCCTTTGATACCGCATGATTGCATAGGTTGGAGTGCTTCTTCCATGTGGGCTTTGTTGCTTCTGAGCTTGATGGCCGCTTGATTACCTTCATGCCTTTAAGACCCCAGACGCTATACTTTTTGATAGTCGGGCACCATCAGCTTTCTTCGCCACGTTTGCTTATGCACCCTTCGACACCTCGCGATCACATAAGCTGACATGTTCTTCCATGTGGACTTTGTTGCTTCTGAGCTAGATGGCCGCTTGTTTACCTTCAAGCTTTTAAGACCCCAGACACTATATTTTTTGATAGCTGGGCACCATCAGCTTTCTTCACCACATTTACTTATTCACCCGCTTTGTCTTCAGCAGTTGTGTTGGGAAGGTGAGCATCACAGAATGCCAATTTAATAGAAGAATCTTACCATGGTGAATGATGGGGGGAGTACAGAGTGCAGA